TAGCGGTTTGTGACTTTGAAGGTTCTTAAGCCGTTCGGTTTAGTGGTTTTGGGACAATAATTAGCAATTTTATCTAAATCGTTAAGTATAAATGTTTAGTAAATTTATATATTTTGAAATCACTATAAATAAAGTGTTTGATAATATTTTTATTTAACAGTTTTGGACTAACGGCTAATGGTTGTCTAAACCGCCAGTGAATTAAAAAAACTAATTTAAGTAGTTTTTTGTATCAAATCCCTAGTTGATTGGAATTTTTTAATTTTATTGACAAATTTATCATTTGGAATTTTTTAATTTTTGGTCACATTTTTTAATTAAGATTTATCTATAAGTTTCAATTTTGTTTTTTTCTCCTTTAATAACACTAGGTGATTATAATATTTTTATTTTGTACATTAATTTATCGTTAAAAAATATATTATCTTAAAAAACAAAATTTGCTAATTAGACAAAATGATTAATTTTTTATTTAAAAATAATATAATTTTTTCTTTGTTAAAAATAAAACTGAGGGTGTAGTTATATTATTATAATTAATTTTATTTATTTATTTTATTATTTTTATTTTTATAAAATTAATAATTTTAATAAAAATAAAAATATTAAAAGAAATACACTTAATTATTTTTAAACATGTCTTTATTAGTTATTTAATATTAAATAACAACCATTAACTATTATATAACCAAACAATTATATTTATTGAATCCATTATTTATTATCTGTTACTTACTTTCCGTTATCTGTTATCTGTTATTCTCTATCCACTAACCGCCACCCATTATTCGCTATTACTATTTGCTATCTGTTACTTATTATTTACTGAATTTTAACCGCTATACCAAACATACCCTTAACTAGGTTTTGGTATTTATAAGCTAATTGAATTCTTGTTTATAAAAGAACTAAAGTTGGGTTATTAGTTTTGGGGTTGAAGAAAGTCAACATTACTTGGTAATCCTGGTAAGATCAGGACCATTCATTATGTGACTTTCACAATAGGATCCACATGGAGATCACATGATGGATTACCATAATCCTGTCAGGATTACTTTTCGTTTTCTAATTAGTTTTAATGTCTTAAAATCTTAAATTCAACCATAAGATGTTTATTCTCATTGTGGCTTATGAAATAAGATAGATAAAAAAAAATTTTTAATCGTTAAGTTACTGCAATCAATTTTAAATTTTTCAAAAAATGGACTTTGGATATTTTAGCACTTCAAAATGGAAAATAACAATATTGGGCCAGAACCCAAGCGGAACATCAATCGGCACTCAAGTGTCAGGTGAACGTTGGCGCGGTGTTACTCTTAAGGCGCGAAGCAATTCCTCCGCTTTACTTGGGGAAGTGGATGTGCTCGGTTCTCCAAATTAGACCCGATTTTGTTCAGTCCTCCGAATTAGACCCTGATTTCTTCTTCAGTGCTTCTTCAGATAGGAGCCGACTTCATACTCTTATATATATTCCACTGTTAATCAGAGGCAGAGCATTGTATCTTAATTGGTTTCAAGAAAGAGTGGTGCTGTGGCTCCTTTCATGGACGCGATTTCCTCTTCATGCTCTCAACCCCAATTCGACTCTTTCACTTTCCCTCTGTTTTCCCAGCCTTCTACTTCAACCATGCCGCCTTCTGATATTCCAACTTTCAT